TCTGTAATAATTGGCCAAGGGGTCAGCAAACACCAATCGAATAAAGCACAAATCGATAAAACCGAAACAAATCCAAATCGCAACCAAGTTAGGGTTCAAACATACCCAAAACACAAACGAATCCCTAACCCACAGCCGTGGATCTACTCACGGTTCATGGAAAAACACTGAGCAAAACTAGAAACAGAAAGAAAAGAGGGAGAAGAAAGACTCATGTCGACAGCAAGCGATCTTCACGTTCCAACTCTCCTTCTTCTTCCCGAAATCCCGTAAAACTCTTATTTCTCTCCCCAAAGCTCTCCAAAGTCTGTATAAAGTCTGTCCCTCTCTAGGACGTCTGTAGGCTCTTTTTATAAACCCTAAGCGGCGCCCCCGAAGTCCTATTCCCATCAAAACTCTGAAAATTCGAATCTGGGCTTTTTCTGGGTTTTGACTCGGACCGAGTCAGTAGTCTGACTCGACCGAGTCAAAACGAGATTATTAAGAATTCGGCCCAGCCCATTCTTTTGACTCGGGGTGTCTGACTCGGGGTGTCTGACTCGGGCATTCTGACTCGGGGTATCTGACTCGGGGTGTCTGACTCGGACTGAATCAAGAAGGAAGCTCTTGACGTATTTCATCCCTTTAGCTCCAGATTGCTCCCGTTTTGGTCCAAATCGCGTCCGAGACCTGTAATCCTATAAAAACACAACCAAACCGAGTTTTGTGGCCTAACACGCCTATAATGCCTACAAATGAATATGATCCTCGTCTAAATCCTATAGAAACGTCCAGGAAATATAGAGAGAATTAGGAGTTATCAGGTAACACGACAAAACATATGTATCGGATTTTTGGAATTGGGTCAAATCCATTTGTACCACATGATTTGTCATCATAGAAATATATTGACCGCAAGCCAAGCCACTTCGATATATACAACCCAAAGATATTCAAATTTCTGCCATCCATTTCAAGTTCTGAGGTGGAAAAAAATCGACACCGTTCATTTTTATGAGAGCAAAATGGTGTTCTTCGTGGTCTCACCAGTGGCGGACTCACAAAAAAATATAGAGAAAATTTGCGTCATTGTGCCAGATATATCATGTTATGGAAATCTATACCTTTTTTTTTTCTTTCCTTTTCAAACTATACATTTATATAAATTTTTTGACAAAAATATCCTTACTTTATTGTCTAATTTCAATATTACCATTTAGCACCCGAAAACATGTGTAGCATGAAAAACAAATTTTTTTGGAAACTGTGTTATCCCAGAGAACTATTTTTTCATCCGTGATAACTGTTTTTTATCTGATAGAACCTGTTTTCATCCGGAAAAACTGTTTTTCATCCGGACAAAAAACAGTTCTCGCGGACAAAAAAACAGACTCTCCTAGACGAAAAACAGTTCTTCCGGACAAAAAAAATTCTATTGGACAAAAAACAGACTCTCCCATATAAAAAACAGTTCTCCAAACAAAAAACAGATTCTCTCGGACAAAAATCAGCTCTCTGAGACAAAAAACAGTTCTCCCGGACAAAAAACATACTCTCCCGGACGAAAAACAGTTCTCCCGGATGAAAACAGGTTCTCCCGGATGAAAAACAATTGTCTCGGATGAAAAACATTTCTCTCGGATAACACAGTTTCCAAAAAAAATCTTCTTTTTATGCTGCACATTTTTCGGAACGCTAAATAACAATATTGAAATTATACAATAAAATAAGAGTGTTTTTGTCAAAATTTTATAAAAAAAAAGTATAGTTTGCAAAGGAATGAAAAAAAAAGTTACAGATTTGCGACATATTTGTCATAGTTTACCAATTGTCCCAAAAATATAAATGGCGGTATTGATTTTATATATATCATTTTATGGAATCAAATGTTATTTTTATGGGGAATAGGATAATTGTTTTTCATAATTTTACAAAATTTGTCTAAGAATTACTTATTTTTTTGAATTAGAGCGGGGCACCCCTCCTAACCTAGATCCGCCCCTGATCCTGACCAATGTCTTCCACAATGAAAACGTGCAAAGTCCTAGATTGATTAGTTTTGAAATTAAATGAGTTTGATGTGAACGAACCACTAGCTAGATTCCAAATCACTGATTTAAACTCTTACATTTCCACTCATTCACTAACAATTTATATATATATATATATATATATATTACTTCAAGATATAATATAAGATATTCGCTAACTCATGTATGGCAAGCAACTGTTATTAGGGTTCTCTATATATATACACACACAGAACCGTGATCGGTAAGAGAAAGTAGAGAATAACAATTATGTGTAACGGAAAAATAGAGGAAAGGGCTTTCTCTCGCGGAAATCCTTTTGGGATCTAAAGAATGGGAACAAGGGTAGCTAGATGTGGCGGAAATTACTGAAACTCCGAGTCGTTGCTCGACCATTTCTTAGATGTCGAGTAGGGAATGGTGAATCATGTAGCTTCTGGTTTGATTCGTGGCTCCCTCAGGGACCCTTGATACTGTACCTGGGGGAGAGGGGGACCGAGGCTAGTCGGGATCCACCGACAAGCTACAGTGAGAGAAGCATGTGGAAATGACGGTTGGCATATACCTCAAGGACGGAACCCTGCAATCGAAGCTATCCGTATCAGCCTTCTTTCACATGCTTCGCCGATCTCCTCGACATCGGGTGACAGGTATTTTTGGTCTACAGACTCTTTAGACCCGTCTCTCGGGTCATTCTCCACGTCTAAAGCATGGAAATTTTTCCACTCCTCGTTTAGCCGGGTCACCTGGGCTCGGACGGTGTGGTTCACCTATTCCATACCGAAGCATGCATTCATGTGCTGGCTGGCTGCTCGGAATAGGCTACCCACTCGTGATCGGCTATCTGTATGGCTCTCCAGCTCTCCACTGACTTGCTTGTTGTGTGATTCGGACAATGAATCTATTGATCACCTCTTTTGTCACTGTGACTACACCAGACACATATGGGATAAGTTACTGGAAGCCTCTCGTTTTAGTTGTCCGCAGGTTAATTCCTTTGGTGATTTACTCGGTTGGGTTGCAGGTATTACAACTGATAAAACCATAAAACTTATCCTTCTACTGTTGTTCCAAGCCACGATATATATACTTTGGAGGGAAAGGAATATACGGTTGCATGAGAACCAATCGCGCCCCTCTTCTGTTGTTGTACGAGACATACTTTCTTCAACTCGGCGGCGTTTATCGAGCATTCGGCACGTATGGCAGTATACGCACGATAATGACTCTTTACTTACGGTCTGGTTTACATATTTTGAACTTTGATAATTTAAATTTTGTCTACCTGGGATTGCTGTTCTTAGTTAGGACTGGTGTACTGGCTGATTTACAGCCGAACTTTTGTAAGTTGCGGTATATATAAAGAATTTTACAGGAAAAAAAATAGAGGAAAGGGGGAGTTGCCTTATAATGGATGTTGTGCAAATGTTATTGAAAGGAGATCATGCATAGCGCCCGATTGAGTAGTTTTGATTCTATACGTAAATTAACATAGGTTGACGTAAATGGGCCAAATCCCTAAGTTTATAATCTGACTAATCAATCCACTCATTTATAACAAATGTCTTAGATTATATATTTTACACTTAGGATGTGATTACACGCATACGTTTAATGCTATACGTATACTGCCTAATAGTATTACACGCATCTGTTTTAAAAATATATATCCCCTTTTGTTTGAATATAGAGATCCATCTAATATTCATAAATTGGAGGAGGGGTGAAATGTGAAATCCATAAGTTGGGGGTCGATTATATCTAAACAAAGTTTAGGGGGCCAATTGGAATTAAATAATAGTTAAGGTATAATTTAAAGTGTTGAAAATAATGTGAAGATGATTTCAATTGTTTTCTTGGGCCAAAACCTTAAATTTCATGTATTTGGGCCCAATTGTCCGCAAAATAGAATCGAGTCGTGTTCTCTATGTCCGAACACAAATGCACATAAAAATAATATAAACGTATCCCTAGATATGGACTGCATGGCCTAACCACAAATGCATATATACAGACGCATATATATATATATATATATATATATATAATATTTTAAGACAGGACGGGTAGCTGTTTGGACCACGTGAACATATTTCCACCTAAATGACAGATGGAATCGTTTTGACCATGTGAATTTGTCCACGTGATTTTTGTGGGTATAGAAAGTAACTGCTTTTGGTAACAACTTTTGATATATTGGATATATGGATTCGAACTCTACGTATAATACAAAAATTATACGTACAATACTTTAACTAACGACATTTTTTTATTAGCCTTTGTGGGTACGGCAAAAGGAGAGCCAGCATCTAAATGTATATTACTTTACTGTTAGACACGTACGTGAATGAATCCTATAAGTGTATACATTGGCGGACCCATGTGTATAAATCTTATAAATTTGTAAATAAAATGGTAAATGCTCCGATGTTAAAAATACTAAAATTATGTTTGCCCTTTCCTATTATGTGTATAAATAAATACTAGCTAGGCATAGGAATGGTCACGTTACAAGTCCAAAGCAGAGAGAGAGAGAGAGAGAGAGGGAGGGAGGAAATGGCCAACGCAATCAAGTCTGCTTCCATCTTCCTCGTGTTCTTCGTTCTCTTTCTCGTTGTGATCGGTAAGTTAAAAAAAAAACAAAACTAGTTGCATGGAACCAAAGGTCGTAGTAAAGTCTCACGTAAAGTTCATCCCTTTTTTTGGCGCTCTATTTGAATATAAACGCAGAAGTGCCGAAGACAGAAGCAGGCGACGAGTGCTTGAAACCGTACGGCGGCAATGTCGGGTTTCGGTTCTGCGCTCCAAGAATCTTTCCGACGTTTTGTTACCAGAGATGCCGTTCCGACAAGGGAGCTAAAGGCGGAAGATGCGACTGGAGAGGCGGCGGCAAGGTTATATGCTACTGCGACTACTGCAGCGACGAACCGCGGATTGCGATCAAAATGAAAACGACGAACGATGCTTAATATTAGCGTATTCGAAAATGTTTGACTGATGAGTAGACGCCCATGTTTCAACTATATGTGTCTCCTAAGGTTTAAATCGTCTAAGGTGTAATAAAAGAAAAAGCAAGGGGATATGTGTGTATAGACACTAGTCTCTTGGTTTTCCTTCGTTTCCATATTTAGGCGTCCGTCTTTCCCTTTGAGTTAATAAAGACATCTAAGTTTTTTATTGTTATTTTGGTTAATTTTTGTTTAAGATCTTAATATTGATAAAAAAAAATAGGGATAATCGCATTTAAATAACCGAACTATAAAATTGTCATATAAATACATGAACTTTTCATAACTCCCACATAAATACCCAGACTTTTAAATTTTTCCAAATCAAACACTCATCTGTTAACGGCGTTAAACGTTACTGTTCACTCGACAAAAAACTGCTGACTCAGCAATGACTCAGCAAAAAAAATCTGCTGATTCAGCAAAAACATATTATTAAATATTCAATTTTTTTATCTACATATATTTAAATTAATATATACATATAAATTCACATATATATATATACAAATATATATTAAAAAAAATATTTATAATTAATAAAATACATATACACATAACTACAATATATAAATATATATATCATTACTAATGCATATATATTAAAATAAAAATAATTATAATTAAATTTATGTACATACATAATATATGTATTAAAAATAATAATTATAACTAACATATATACATATAATATATATTAAAAATAATATTTATACGTATACATATTAATTATATATACAAAAATATACATATACAATCAATATATATAATTATAATTAGTTATATATACAAAATATACATATACAACTAATTAGGGATTTGTATATAATTATAATTATATATATTAGTTGTATATGTATATTTTGTATATATAACTAATATATATACATATAAATCTTATTTTTAATATATATTATATGTATATATGTTAGTTATAATTAGTTTTATTTTAATATGTATATTATGTATGTATATAAATTTAATTATAATTATTTTTTTTAATATATATGCATTAGTAATGATATATATATATATATATTGTAGTTGTGTATATGTATTTTATTAATTCTAAATAATTTTTTTAATATATATATTTATATATATATGTGTGAATTTATATGTATATATTAATTTAAATATATGTAGATAAAAATTTTTAATATATATGCATTAGTAATGATATATATATATATATATTGTAGTTGTGTATATGTATTTTATTAATTCTAAATAATTTTTTTAATATATATATTTATATATATATGTGTGAATTTATATGTATATATTAATTTAAATATATGTAGATAAAAATTTGAATATTTAATAATATTTTTTTGCTCAGTCAGCACTTTTTTGCTGAGTCAGCGGATTTTGTTTGCTGAGTCATTGCTGAGTAGGGATGTCAAAAGGAGTTGAGCTCGTGAGCCAGCTCCCGGTTAGCTCCTTTATGACCGAGCCGAGCCAAAGAAATTTCAACCCGAATAATAAACGAGCTGAACGAGCCAGCTCGTGACGAGCCGAGCCTAGACGAGCTGGCTCGGGCAGCTCACGAGCTAGCTCGTGATCTCAAAAAATAGGTTTTTAGACTTTAGCCTCTTTTGTTATGTATGCCGCTTCCTCCTCTCTCCCTCACTTGTCTTCTCTCTCTCACTTGTCTCCTCTTTTTCTCAGTTTCACAGCGACGATCGTAGACTTTCTTTTTTTACTTCTCTCTCACTCTCAATCTCGGATTCTCGCTGGGTGCAGCTCGCCGATATCGCTGTCACCAGTCTCGGTCTCGATCCCGCCTCTCTCTCTCGGTCTCGGTCACTCTCGGGCTGTCGAGCTCTGTCTCTCGCTCCCCCCTCTCGGTCTCGCTTACACCCAAACTATCGATCTCTCGGACTGTAGAGCTTTGAAGGCGTATAGATAAATTTGGTTCTGGCTCGCGAGCTAGCTCGCGAGTTAGAGCGACTTGGGCCGAGCCAACATTTTCTTGATCCGAATATAAACGAGCTTAATGAGCTGGGCTGAAAACGAGCTGGCTCGTGACGAGCTGGTCCGAGCCGGCTCCTTTGACATCACTATTGCTGAGTCAGTAGTTTTTTGTCGAGTGAACTGTAACGTTTAACGACGTTGACGGATGAGTGGTTGATTTGGAAAAAAATTTAAAAGTCTGGGTATTTATGTGGGAGTTATAAAAAATTCATGTATTTATATGACAATTTTATAGTTCAGGTATTTATGTGGGATTTTTGTAAAAATTCGGGTATTTAAATACGATTATCCCAAAAAAATATTATATCTATGGTTTCCCATTCGATTAATCGATTTTCTTATGAGATTGGGTTTAGATTTGGGTCTTGATGCTCTTTCCTTGCATTAACAATATATATAAATTTTCCCTTGCATGTTCTGTGCCCTGTTGTTGAGCTGCAGATGTTTTGGAGAATGGATGGGGACACTATATATATCACTATTTGTAGTGATTAATGACATTGTTTTAATTAAATGATCAATAACTGGGGAAGTGGGGACTCAAAGACCCACCCCTTGGGTTACCCATTAACAAAAAAAAAACTATATTCAAAAGCATATAAAAAATTATGAATATAAGGGATAAGTGATTTTCTACCTTGATTTATGAATTTGGTTTTTTGCTAATCTAACAAGGACTGGTATTATAACATGTAAGATTTATTAAATCAGATATTCAAATATTTAGTTATCGACAATCTGGTCATCTGTATACATATATATATATATATATATATATTATTCGATGAAATGGTGAAGATTAGTCCCGAAACTATGAACTATTCCTAGGTTAAAGATTTCAAGTGCAATCAAAGTATATCCACATTGCTGCTAAGGTTCCATTGGTTGGTCCATGTTTTTTCATGATCCATTTCAATTTTTTTTAGGTAAAAAGAAAAATCGAAACAATGAATCATTTTTGTTGAGAGCAAAATTGGTCCTCTTTCGTGGTCCCTACCGCTACCCTTCACAATGAAAACGTGGCAATGAGTACTTTCGATTTTACTTGAATTAAACACAAGAAACCATTCCATTCATTAAATAAAATATTAGATTAACGTTGCGATGTATTGTATTCCACATCGACCGTATATACAGATCCGTTCTAATACATAAATATGGACTAATTAAACCTCAATTATTGATATAGTTTTATTTTTATGGTAGAGCTAGGTTCATGTTTATGTCATATAATATGATTTGCATTCAACGTACGGACGAAGAAGCTCAATTTTTCAGGACAAGGACAGGCGTGAAAGCACTGTTGGAACCACGTGAACTCGTTCGTACGTGTTCACATAGGAGATACGCGAGGGAATCGTTTGATCTTATCCATACGTTGATAAATTGTACGAGTCCACTATCAACTTCGACCATTTCATTTTACATTGGATTCCGACTTTATGTAAAGCAATAACTCTACATTCAATCCATAATTCTCTATTTAAGAATGCACAGCATTAGAGTGTATTACAATCATTAAGCGTCATTAGAGTAAAGTGTATATATATATATATATATAATTTCATGCTATTTGAATTGAGAGAGTAAAATATCGATACAATTTTCACAAAAATCAATCCAATCTCTCTATTTTTTTTAAAAAAGAACCCTATGAATATCTGTATCTACTAATAGAAAAATCAACAATATTTGTTAATTATTTTGCGTTAGGTGAGTCGGCAAAGGTCTCAACATTCAAAGGAAAGGGAATCTAAATCACATCAAAATGGTCCCCCAACGTGGCTCGTTCCACGATTCATTTATATTATATCACCAACGTGTATTATTTTATGCCCATAATTTTTTACGAGCATATTATTGATGTTTATAAATAGAGAAAATCCAAAACAAAATTACTGATCTTTCGCATCAAATTATTTCGTTTTTTATTTTCATAATAAATTATTAAATTTTTTTAAAAACTTAACTTTTAAATTCTTTTCAATTTTTCATTCGCCCAAAAAATTCAGTCAAAATGTCGACGGCTAACGATGAAGTAAATATATATATATATACACGTGTATTTATACATATGTGTGTATATATACTACCGAAGCAAAACACATGGTCCCTTCACAAGTCGAAAGTGAAGAGAGATAAAAATGGCCAACCCAATCAAGTCTGCTTCCATATTCATTGTCTTCTCCGTTCTCCTTCTCGTGGTTCTTGGTAAGTGATCTTATTTGCCCGGATCAAGATCGCAGTAAATCTCACTTAAACCACACTTTAAGTTTCATGCTTTGGATGTTGCAGAAGTGCCGAAGATAGAAGCCGGCGACGAGTGCTTAAAAGAGTACGGCGGCGATGTTGGGTTTGGGTTTTGCGCTCCAAGGATCTTCCCGACATTTTGTTACAGTAGATGTCGTTCCGACAAGGGAGCTAAAGGGGGAAGATGCGACTGGAGAGATGACGGCACGGTTATATGCTACTGCGACTACTGCAACGACGAGCCACGAGTTTCAATCAAAATGAAAACGACGAACGATGCCTAATATGATACTAGCATATTGGAAAATGTTTGATCGACGTACGAGTAGATGCCCATGTCTCCACCATGTGTCTCATGAAGTCATCAAGTCGTTTAGTTAAGTTGTAATAAAGAAAAGCAAAGGGATATGCGTATGGGCTTGCCTTTGTTGCCATGTTTAGGCGTCTGTGTTTCCTTTTGTGTTAATAAAGGCATCTACGTTTTTTTTGTTCTTGTGGTTCATCTTTAAGATCTTGAGATTGATAAAAAAAAATCTATCTATGGTTTCCCCTTTGATCTATTATTTGTGGTATCTATTATTCTGAATGAAAAACATCAAAATATCGAAACATTTTTGTGGGGCTAAGCGATTTTTTTGGTTAGATATGGGTCTAAATGTCTGTATATACATTTGCGGAAGTTATCTTATAAATTAATCTTATTGGACGTTAATTAACGTTGAAACGTGTCCATGAATTTATGCGGAAATTAGCTTATAAATTTATTTTTATATAAATGCCCCCGAGTAAGGCCTTATTCACTCCAAACCCACAAAAGAAAAAAAAAATAGAGAGAAAGGAACCCAATCTCGGGCAAACTAACCCATTGGAGGTCAAAGTTGATATATATGATCCAAATGGGCCAGCCCACAATTTACATATATGAAATATTTATTCGCAAATTAAGATATCTCAATTATTATAAAAAAAAATCTCTCGATTCATGCATGCAACTACAGTGCAGAAGGAAGATTGATGTCAACTTTGGGAGTGATAATCAGCACAAAATGGGGCAAGAATTGGGCAATACTTTGGAATAAAAGCGGAGGAGAGAGAGGCGTGATGAAGAAAACGAAAGGCGTTTACTCCTCATTTAATGTCTTCAACTTAATTTGCTGTTACCGAGAACCTGCAGCTTCGGCCTCATTGAATACTCTCACTGCCACTCAACATTGACACAATCTCTCTCTCTCTCTCTCTCTCTCTCTCTCTCTCTCTCTCTCTCTCTCTGTCGACAGTT